TGTAGATTGTTATTGCAGTTCAAAGAAGTTCCCAACCTAATGACATTCACATCAATGGTTATTTTATTTTTTTTATTGTTTTTTTTTTTTGATGAATGTATTTTCGAAGATTTGTTATGAATTTGAGAATGACACTTTAACAGTGTAGTCCCAAATACATGTATAGGCCTAGCCTAAGTAGTAGATGTTTTTTTTTATTTAATTTTTTCGTCTGTATGGCATTACGTGTTGCGGTTTTGGTTAATATGTATAAATGTGTTTAATGACTTCATCCATGAGTGAACTTTCGAAATAAATGTATGTACTTGGGGATGACACCTTTGAGTTTGACACAGTGTAGGCCTACAGTAGTATCTATAGGCCTAGTTAGTAGATGTTTTTCGATTTAAACTTCATCATTTATTTTTTAATAAGTGATTATGCTTGATATCTTCATCCATGAGTGAATTTTCAACAATTTGCTATAAGCTTGAGACACACAGCGTACTGAGTGTAGGCCTAGCCAAGAAGGTCTACAGCGTACTGAGTGTAGGCCTAGCCAAGAAGGTCTACAGCGTACTGAGTGTAGGCCTAGCCAAGAAGGTCTACGTGTTTTGCGATTCAAATATGGTCGGTATGATATAAAGTGTTGCGGTATGAAACACAGTTTCCGCATGTTACACTGACTATATATCTTATGCAGAGCTGTCAGAACTCATTATTAGTATTTCACACTGCGTGTTATTATTCGGATTAAGCCGTTTAGTCTGAAAAACTTGTTTTTATTATGATCATTATTATTATTTTTCTAGTCTAAGTGGAGAGTCTAAGTTTGAATTTCGTTTTCCTGCAATTTTAATTAAAAGGCTAAAGCATTTATTTATGCTCCTGAATAAAAATTGTATACCAAAAACTATGTCAGATTTGTTTCAATGGAGAGAGATAGAGAGAGAGAGAGGGGGAGAGAGCGAGAGAGAGAGAGAGAGCTAACGTATGGTATACCTTCAAAAATTCGATTGCGCGTAGGGGCTTTAGCAATGGGGGGAAACTGGAGGACCCAGAGGAAACCAACGAGGTTGGGCAGGCGACCATACTCCTTGTCACGTAGAATCTTTATTTCGAAACATCGCCACTTGATTCAATGACAGACCTTATGATCTAAAGCGCACGTGTTAGATCACTCGACCACCCAACTCTCTGTCTCCAAGGAAACACAAAAATGATTAAATCTGAAAGATTTCTAATTAGCACCAAACTCAACTACTATAATAGGTTGATGTGTTTACAAAATAACAAAGTTTCATATAAAGATATCTTGTGATATGCTCCGGAAACGAATGTGGGATGGACAGAGCTCGTTTCAAAATCTTCCCCTTAGTTCCGTCGGCTCGGGATAATAACATACGACAGGGCCGGCGGAAGCAATTCTTGATTGGGGGGGGGGGGGGCTTCCAACCTAGGTCCTTATAGGCAAGGGTCCAGGGGCCGCAATAACCTGGAGAAAAGAGAACTTGGGGCCAAATTATTGGGGGGGGGGGGCTAAAGCCCCACCCACCTAGCCCCCCCCCCCACTCCGCCGGGCCTGTACGATAAAAATTAAATAAAATAATTGATTTCAAAGTCAATCATTATTCGATACTTTCGATTTAATCTATAGTCAAACGATATATTGGATTATTGCGGTATTGTTAATGTTAATGAAATAAAAAATAGATAATGTCAATAAAATTTACATATTGTGATTTATTGATGTATTGAAATTATTGTCTACCTCTACACTTGAATGCACATAAAAATACATTTGTCCAGATCTAAAACATATAAATCGGTCACACGCTGTACCTGTGGCTCTATCTACAACGTAAGGACGGGTAACAAAATTGCACCCATGACGTCAGTTGCCTAGACTCAAATCTGTTTCACAGAGGATTACGAAAGTCTTCTAATATCTCTGTCACATCACGCTACTTCAATCATTGGCTCAATGGCGCGTGCAATGTTTACATATCAAAAGTTACTGAATCATGCTGCCTTTACTCATTTTAATATCCATTTTCACTAAAATAGGAAATTATTTTTACCTACAAATACTTCAAACGTCTTTATTTATTTTTCTAATACATGTACATAAAAAAAAATGTTTTAGAATTTAATTTGTCGGGGAAAAAAAGTTAATATTGTAGCGGCCTAGCGAATATTCACTGCTGATCAATGTGGTCCAGACTCTCTATATTAAAGGCTCTGGGCAAACCCAATCTCTGTTTGCCTGTGATATCGCTTCGGTGGAAGCGGACGTAAAATACAACTAACTCACACACCCAATCTCTGTATATAAGTAGCCTACCATAGGTTAGCCCCCAAATCATCATATCATGTTGAATGAACATTGAGCGGACGTTAAACTCACTGTATTTCTATTATCTCGTATCAACACTCGGCAAACCTCAACAGATTCCAGTACCCTATATCTAGATTCGGTTTTTTGACGTAGTCCGTCATTGGAACTACTTTCAAGTTCCCGGATTACCAACGGCTTAACCCATGACGACGCCTTTGAAGAATGTTTTATCATACAAATAGTTCAAAGTCTGCAGCTTTTTTCTTTCAAGTTTATCCGATCTTTTTCAAACAAGGACAACTTTGCTCTGAAAATTCTACACACGCTTCTACCGATGCAATTTTGATAAATAAACCGGTGCCGCATCGCAATAGTATAGGCGTAGGTACATATCATTTACCACCATCCAGCCGAGGCTAGATGTAAAGTAATGGAATCTGCCGAGGTTTGCCGAGTGCTCGTATCAAGTTAACCGTGACCAGTATACATATCAGGGTCATATATGGACACAGATCACTAAAGATTTCCCCATTGACTCCAATGTTAATTCTCGTATCTTAGACCGGCTCTAACTTTTTCCAAAATTTTCGTTGGGTAGAACGCTTTCTACCACAGATGGAGCAACATGTGGCAACCACTTGCCCAAAAGCACGTATGAGGTTCTTCATGAAAAACTTGAGATACACAAGCTGGAAGTAGAGACAAGTAAACATGCAATTTCAGGCCCTACATTTCAACCTAACCAACTTCTCAACTCTTGTATCCTTCCGCATCAAAATTATGAATATTCACCAAAACCTGGCAGAAAATGTATTTTCAAACCCTTTTCCTCGATTCTACACCAAAAAGTCAACAAAAATCGCCATGCAAAAGGGGGAAAAAGGAAAAGGGAGAGGAAGACTTAAAAATAGCTTTGGCCCTTGTTTCGTAGTTGACGGCGTAGGAATATTTGGTGATCTGTGTCCATATGAAAAGATTTATTTGTGGTTCAAATAATGGGACATACTTAAAGTTCAGTTTATAGGACATACTTATGGTAGCCGATTTGTGCCACTTTCACGTTTGTTGGCAATGCGACAAGACGCCATTTTATGTAGGCAATGCGGTATTTAATGGGCCACAGAGAGACATTGTCAGGGTGTTGCCTTGTCGTGTTACTCAGTCGGGTTGTCGCGTTGTCGTTTTACTCGGTCGGGTTGTCGCGTTGTCCTGTTATTCGGTCGAGTTTTCGTGTTACTCGGGTGGGGTGTCACGTTGTCGGTTGTGTTGTCATGTTACTTGGTCATTTGAACGCGTTGCTCAGTTGGGGTGTCGCCAGGTCGTGTTATTCGGGCGGGGAGTCATGTTGTCGTGTTACTCGGTTGTCGCGTTTATGTATTACTTGGTCGGGGTGTCACGTGGTAGCGTTACTCGATCATGGTGTCGCGTTAAGCCAGGTTTATACTTTTTACGCAAGACACCCGCGAACTCAAGGCATGAACCAAAACGTATAAATACAAACCGATGCCAGTGAGTTCTTGACCTAGAAGAAACATTGCGGATTTTAGGGACGAAACGGCCCTTTATCTTCTACAACTTCAGCCATTGGTGCTATTTAATGACCAGGGGCCTGTTTCACGAAATTTTAACTAAGATAAAATCCAAATTTTAGTAATATGATTGGATAATGTTAGATTGAGTTTAGTGCTTAGCCAATCAAAATTGAAGTATCTACTAAAATTTGGATTTTATCTTTAGTTAGGATTTCGAGAAACCTGGCCCAGGGTGAACAGATCAAGCCTACCAGGTCGTACATGAGGCCCAATCTTATTTAAAAATAGATCTATATTTCGTTTCGTTTTTTATACTTTCGATGGCCTACACTACATGTAGATCTAACAAGTTATAGTTAGATCTATGACGTCAGGTACCAAGCAAGCGACATTTGACCCGATTACATCAGTCATTGATTAACCAATTAGCGACCGCCATGTATTATTTTTATCTACTTTTGCTTTGTTTTGGTTTCTATTGCCGCTAATGTTTACCCACAGTTCCGCGCGAAAAGGTCAAACGCTCCATTCGACAGACCATTTGATTGGCTGACCCCACATTTCAAGCAGAACACGGGTTAAATAACAACGCTTCCAGATCCAAGTGTAGTAAAGACAAGTGAAATCGAAATTTTGAACTATAAAAAACGAAACGAAATTGGATCTGTGTTTTAATCAGATTGACACGAGGTCGCCACATGGTAAAAGGCAACGCATATATCGCTTTCAGATCCCGGTGTTGGCCAAGAAAGTTCAACAGGATTTTCCGGCATGGTTTTCCCTTGTCAGTGGTACAGGACGGATGGCCTGACAAGATCAGTGTCTAATCGAACAGATGGGACGAAAAACCGAGGTCCCGTGTACACATTGTCTTGCATGTAAAAGAACCCTTGCCAGATGTATTTCCCTCATAGCGCACTATATGGCGTATGCCCGTCTTCATTATCCCAGTAGTAGGACGTTAAACCCCATTTCATTTCATTTCATTTCATTATCCCAGTCGGAGCAGAACAGTAGGACGTTAAACCCCATTTTATTTCTCTAATCTTTAACGTTATCAACTGGACAGATTCGTTGAGCATATACCAAAATGTTATAGACTCAGATAATTTCGGTGTAGCAGGTTTGGTGTTCCATACACGTGTAATTGCCTTTTAGTCGGTTATGAATTGATACAATTTTCGTGGCAAATAGGTCACAACTACTGTATATATATGCTTTAACATAGTTTTAGGACAGCAACTGATATTATTAGAGCATTTCGCAGTAATGGTGTAAACAACTTGCTTCAACAGGTCGTATGTTACATTTCTTATTGAAGGAGGGTGTGTGTGTGTGTATGTGTGTGTGTGGGGGGGGGGGGGGTAGTAGAAAACCAACGACTGTACGCATTGAGCAACTTTTAACCATTTATTACAGTAACAATGCACCCACTTGTCAGTGGTCTTGGGCGGAGGGCCTGGCAAGGGATAATGTATAGTCGTTCGGACGAACGATAAACCGAGGTCACGTGTACGCATTTTGGATGCACGTTAATACTCCTTGACATTTAGAAGTCGAAAAGTAGGCCCCCATAGCACACTGTATGGCGTATGCCCGTCTTCGTCGGTCCAGTAGGTGCGGGGGGTTGGATGGTCGAATGGTTAGCACATGCGTGCTGTATCATAAGGCCTGTCATTGAGTCAACTGGTGTGGTTTCGAATCCCCGGTTGTACGTGACAAGGAGTAGTGTCGCCTGTCCAACCTCGTGGGTTTTCTCCGGGTCCTCCGGTTTCCTCCCACTGCTCAAGACCCCTACGCGCAAGCGAATTATTGAAATAAAATTAAACCATGTGTTAGTTCCGAAATGACCTAGTTTGTGTCGAGTGGACGTTAAACCCCATTTCTCTCTCTCTCCCTCCCTCTCTCTCTCTCGATTTCGCTCTCTCTCTCTCTTTAACATACGAATCCCTTGCTTCATATTTCAGAGAAGGTGTAATTAAATTGAAACTAAAGATGACGTTAACAGAATTATTGGAGAATGTTTACGATGAGCTGATTAGATATATACCAGATGAAGTTTACAAATATATACCAAAATCTCTTATAACCAGATCATTATTGGTTGGAGCTGTAACAGGAACCCTGGGTTATCTCCTCTTTAGAAAGAGGTATCGTTTACCACCTGGTCCCTTCGCTCTACCCATAATTGGAAGTCCTCAATGTAAGTACATCAAATCATAATTAGGTATACGACTATTCTAATGAATAGACAGGTAGTGTTCTGATGCTTTATTCACCACAATTTAATTGATAATTAGGTATACGATTGTTCTAATGAATAGATAGATAGTGTTCTGATGCTTTATCCACCACGATTTAATTTCCTGCATTTTAAGAATGCAGTTTTTATACGCCCACATGGAAATGTGGTCGTATATTGCCGTCGCCCCCGTCCGTCCGTCCGTCGGCCCGTCCGTCTGTCTGTCGGTCCGTCCGTCCGTCCATCGTCCACAATTTCTTGTGAACACTCTACAGACTACATTTATGATCTTGATTGTTTTGAAATTGATATATGTCGTTTGCATTAGTCAGATGAAGAAGCCTATTTAATTTCAAGAACTTCCGTTAATTTCTGTTATGACTCTTGTTTCACTTTGTTGCACCTTGTGAACGCTCTAACGACAAAAGTTATCAACCGATCTGTATGAAATTTATATGCATCATTTAAATTAGTAAAACAAAGAATCCTATTGAATTTCATCAATTTCCGTTAATTACATCCAGAGTTATGGCTCTTGTTTCACTTTCTTGAATCTTGTGAACGCTCTAATACCAACGGTTATCATCCGATCTGTTTGAAATTGATACGCATCATTTAAATTAGTGAAACGAAGAAGCCTATTGAATTTTAGCAATTCTGTTAATTACATCTAGAGTTATGGCCCTTGTTTCACTTTGTTGTACCTTGTGAATGCTCTTACGACAAAAGTTATTATCCGATCTGTATGAAATTTATATGCATCATTTAAATTAGTAAAAAAAAGAAGCCTATTGAATTTCAGCAATTTCTGTTAATTACAGCTAGAGTTATGGCCCTTGTTTCACTTTGCTGAATCCTGTGAACGCTTGAACGACAAAAGTTATCACCTAATCTGTATGAAATTCATATGCATCATTTAAATTAGTGAAATAAAGAAGCCTATTGAATGTCAGCAATTTATGTCAATTACTTCCAGAGTTATGGCCCTTGTTTTACTTTGTTGAACCTTGTGAACGTTCGAGCGACAAAAGTTATCATCCGATTTGTATGAAATTTATATGCATTATTTTAGTAAAATGAAAACGCCTGTCGAATTTTAACAATTTCTGTAGATTACTTCCAGAGTTACCGCCCTTGTTTTAGTTTTTAAAATGAAGAATCTACATTCTTAGTTTAAATTTTATCTTTTAACCAATGAAATGTCTACACTCTTAGGTTAAGTTTTTGTGAATTAGGCCCCTGATTTCCTTCATATTTTGTTTATATTTATTTATTTCTCGGTGTATAATTTAATTGTACTTTTCTTACTTTCTTTCTATTTTATATGTTGCTTATGTTTTTGGATGTGTGTATTTCTGATTTCAGTTTTAAGCTCAAGTAAAGAAAACTTAGGCCGTGTGTTTCATAAAATATCTAAAAAGTATGGCCCGGTCTTCACCTTGTATTTAGGTAAAATTACTTATTGAAATACAGCGTCAAATCATCATCATCATTTTTTAGCCTTCCTCACCATCTTTTGATCATCATCATCATCATCATTTGATAATACAACATCGACAACTTAACGTCTTCTTGCATAGACTATATCCTAACGTGTTTCTTTCTGTTTCAGGACCATATCCCGCGATTGTTTTAAATCGTATAGATGTCATCAATGAAGCCATATTAAAAAAGGCGACTCATTATTCAGATCGGATAGCACGGTATTCAGGTTCGTTATGGGTTTTATTTTGTGTTTAATAAAAGCCTTGTTAATTAAAGCATTGCAAGACCATGAACGACTTGACCTCTGTGTGGGGGATCACGTGGCTAAGTGGGTAAGACGCTGACTCGCTAGCCTGAAGGTCGGGTGTTAGATCCCTGCATTGACCGAGAAAGTTGACCCAGATTTTCCGGCGTGGTTTCACCTTGTCAGTGATGCAGGATGGAGGGCCTGACAAGGACTGCTGTCTAGTCGTTCGGATGGGACGAAAAACCGAGGTCCCGTGTACACATTGGCGTGCACGTAAAAGATCCCTTGGCAGTTGGAATTCGATATAAGAGTAGGCTGTAGCGCCGCTGCCCGGGCAAAATTTCCCTCATAGCACACTGTATGGCGTATGCCCGTCTTCATTAGCCCAGGTTAGGAGCAGAACAGTAGGACGTTAAACCCCATTTCATTTCATTTCATTTGACCTCTGTGTTGATTTTGGTCAAGCGGAAGAGTGATCACCCTTTATGGATTCAGACCACAAATTCATTTCTTTCATGGTGCCAATCATGTCAATATTCACAAATGCGTTTCTAGGGATGTATATTGATGACCATTCCGAGGGTAGACCAGTGTTTCCATGGTAGACCAGTGTTTCGATGAAGTTCAGGAAATGTCTAATAATAGATTCGTGATTTCTGCTGCGATCTTGCGTATGTGTTCTACTAGGATATTCTAGTTTAGGAATCGGGCTATACAAAGCAAGACTGGTGGTCATAACCTCAATGTTTCGTATATATGAATTGAATTATCAACTGATGGCAATCCAATGGTCTGAACTAAGGATAGGCTGAGTTACGCGAATATTCAAGAGAGATCTATATTCTATTTATGCCATTACTCTTCCAAGAGTAGTGGGCCATGGTGACTCAGTGAATAAGACGTTGGCTAGCTAACCTGGGGGTTCCGTCTTCGATCCCAGCATTCATCGGGGTTTTTCGGCGTGAATCCCCATTGTCAGTAGTGTAGTACAGGGGTCCTGTCAAGGGACAACGTATAGTCGTTCGGATAGGACGAAAAACCGAGGCGCCGTGTACACATTGGCGTACACGTAAAAGATCCCTTGACAAGTGGATTTCGATATAAGAGTAGGTCGTATCGCCGTTGTCCGGGCAAAATTTCCCTCATAGCACACTGTATGGCGTATGCCCGTCCTTATTAGCCCAGTCGGAGCAGAACAGTAGGACTTTAAACCCCGTTTCATTTCATTTCATTTCTTTCAAACGTGAATTTGACTGTCTGTATTGGTAACTTATCGTAAAGTAGATAGTGGAGGATTTGCCTTTATCATGATTTTACTTTTAGTGCAGAAACCTTCATATAACGGACAGGATATAGCATTTGGACGATTTGGAACTGCTTGGAAATTAAGAAGGAAAATTGCTTCAAGGGGAATCAGGTTAGCGCATTATACAGTACAATAGAAACAATATTCACCCATTTGATATGGCACTGCATTTTCGATGCACCTGGTTTGATGAGTTTGAATTTCTGGCCTTGTAACCATAGATACGGCGGTTTGATAAACTTATATAAGTTAGTCTGGGTGTCGAAGACAATAGTCTTTGTAATAGTCTGGGTGTCGAAGACTATTAGATCTGAAACACATCATTAGTCTACATTAAACACAATACTCAAGATTTGTATCTGTTGATTTCAGGTTATTTATGATCAGCGGTGCTATAGACAACAAAATAGAGGAAGCCGTCTCAGAAACAATTCGAGCTATGATGAAAGAAACAGAACCATTTGACCCGATGCCTTTCCTATATTTCACAACGGTGAATATTCTAGCGGGCATGTGTTTTGGTACCAGGTAAGTTTACCGGTGAATATTCTAGCGGGCATGTGTTTTGGTACCAGGTAAGTTTAACGGTGAATATTCTAGCGGGCATGTGTTTCGGTACCAGGTAAATCCCCGTCCTTTTTATTCCATCTCCATTGTTTTGCGAGGATGAATTTGATAAATACCACATTATATCAGTTTAACTACTTGATATAGTGTTCGTCCTAGTGTATGTAATATTAGAAAAATGTAAATAAAGGTTTTATGATGAACATATCGATATACACACAAGCACAATTTATAAGCTGTCTATGACAAGGTGACAGGCACAATTTGTACGTTGCTATTGTCGATGACATCATGACAGACTCAATTTATACGTTGTGTTTTTCTGCATCATTTAGAATGAATATATGGCCATACTTGCAGATACAATTAATAATATGACCTTACTCGCAGGTACAATTAATAATATGGCCTTCTGCAACCTACATACATACTCGCAGGTACAATTAATAATTTGACCTTCTGCAACCTACAGACGTACTCGAAGTCACAATTATTAAAAGTGGCTTTTTACAACATTTAGGGTGAACGAATGAACATACTCGTAGGCACAATTTCTAAGCTGTGGCTTTCTGTAACATTTGGGTGAACGTATAGAGATAGTCGAAGGCACAACTTATAAACTGTGACTTTCTGTAACATTCAACCATAATATGTATATCATTATCTTTCTATAACATTCAACCATATGCATATTGTTACCTTCCAATCCACACACGTGCTGTATTTGTATGCCCTTGGTTTCCAATCCACACATGCGTGCTGTATTTGTATGCCCCTGGTTTCCAATCCACACATGCGTGCTGTATTTGTATGCCCTTAGTTTCCAATCCACACATGCGCTGTATTGTTTGCTATTGGTTTCCAATCCACACGTGCTGTATTTGAATGCCCTTGGTTTCCAATCTACACGTGCTGTATTTTTCAGCTATAAATATAAGGACAATGATTTTGAATTTATAATGGGACGTTTAGAGACCATAACAGAATCAATGAGTGGCGGTATTCTAATTGAAGATATTTTTCCGCCAATGAGACTTTTTCCTTCCAAGAAATTACTCGATTTCCAGAACAATTTCGACGAGCTGTTCCAGTACATCGATAAACATATGAAAGATCACAGACGAAACTTTCAGCCAGGTAAATCTACAACTGTTGTATATTTATATGATCAGGTAAATCTACAACTGTTGTATATTTATATGACCAGGTAAATCTACAACTGTTGAATATTTATATGACCAGGTAAATCTACAACTGTTGTATATTTATATGACCAGGTAAATCTACAACTGTTCTATATTTATATGACCAGGTAAATCTACAACTGTTCTATATTTATATTTATTTGAATAACTCACCACACTAATTCATATTACACACCTCCAGACTATATCTCCAATAGCAACAATAGCTGTTTTAAGATGGCTGACTATATCTCCAGTAGCAACTATTCCCCATATTAACCCTCAATAAAGTCATTAGCGATTAATATGGAGATAACGATAACTTTTATTTACTTGTTGTCTCATTTCCCAAAAGTCGATTCCAGAATGTGTCAAGAGTTTGTTTATCACATTAATATTGTTGACTGCCTTATAGTTTGTAATACCACAGTACAGGTAGTGGTGGGTCCCGTGCATGAAGCAGGGTATACTTACATTGTTTATGCTTAAATACAGCTTTTTAAATGACTAGCTCACGGAGCTAAAATATCTTTCTTTGTTTATTGTTTATATAAAATCCTGGTTTTTGTGGTCCTATTACAATTAAACTTATACCATATAATTTTCATCTTGTTATGGTCCTATGCCCAGTACGGAGACACGGGGGATCAGTGAGTAAGACGCTGGCTGGCTAGCCTAGAGGTCGCGGGTTCAATCAGGGTGTTGGCCAAGACAGTTCATCGGGATTTTCTTGGTGCAGGTCGGCGGGCCTGACAAGGACAGCGTCTAGTCGATCGGATTGGACAAAAAAAACGAGGTCCTGTGTACACATTGGTGTGCACGTAACAGAACCCTTGATAGTAGGAATTCGATATAAGAGCAGTTGTTCGGACAAAATTGCTCTCGTAGCTCTATGCACATCGTTATCCCAGTCGGTGCAGAAAAGTGGGATGACGTTAAACCCAATTTCATTTCAGTTCATTTCCTAAACCAATTAGACTTATACCATATAACTTTCTTCTTTTTCAGACAATATTTCAGATTTGACTGACAACCTCCTTTTAGCACAGAAAGAAGTTGAAGCGGAAGGCAAAGACAACATGGCGGAGTTCAATGATTTACATATCACACTTACACTCTTTGATGTCTTTCTTGGTAAATACCATCTCAAAATACCGCCTCAAAATACCATCTCAAAATACCGCCTCAAAATACCATCTCAAAATACCTTCTCAAAATATTCTGGTGGGACCATCCCAGATTTATTACAATGATTTTGAAGCATTATGGTGATCGTAGCGGTTATCAAGCTGGTCCGGTACAATTTCTTTCATTCTGATTAAAATACAGATCTATATTTCGTTTCGTTTTTTTATACTTTTGATGGCTACTACTTGATGAAAAACTGACCAATTGTAGTGAGGGTCGCGTCAGAGGTCATACAAGCGGCCCTTTGCCCTACGACATCTGACATTTGATTAACCAATCAGCGTTGCGGTTTCTTTTGGGTTACCCACAGTTCCGTTCACTTCACGCCCAAAACTCACGGTAACAGTCCGTTTCATTGGCTAAGCCCTCACAACATCCAGAACGTGGGTTATATAGCAACCCTTCCAGATCCTAGTAGAGTAAAGACAAATAAAACGAAATTTTGAACTGTAAAATACGAAACGAAATACGATCTGTGTTTTAATCAGATTAAATATCTCTCATACCACGCTGCATTGCGCATGCCCGTCTTCATTTCTTTAAACGAGTTCTGTAACCTCTCTATTAGGTAGGAAGCGTAGCGTATTTATATAATGATATGGGGTTTAACGTCCTACTTTGGTTCAGAACCAATCTGAATTTAGGCAATATATTATTACACGATACAGGAGGGCGGAAATTATATACGTTATTTATTGATTTTAGCTGGGAATGACACATCAAGACAGACTTTATATTGGGCTGTTCTTCTGATCGCTGCTCATCCCGATATACAAACTAAAATACAACAAGAAGTTGATTCTGTTTGTGGTGAGGAAATAAAACTTTATTATTATTTTGTATACTTGACGATCGCGAGTTTCAGTCGACCAATGTCTGGATGATCGAATTACCTATCAATACACATCATCCCTGTATTGCCATCGCTATACTTACTCTACATTCTGCAGCGCCCTTATTTTTCATAACGCTTTCCAAACCGTAAAACGACCAGAGTCCATCTGATATAAAAGGTCTTGTTGAGACCAGCAGAATTATCCTTACCCTGACATTTCTCTTTAGAAGAAACTCCAATTATTAAGCTACAAAATAGAAAACGGACCTTTTTCCGATCCAGACCATTCCTTTTGAATAAATACCTCAACCACTGAAACATTCTTTGAGAAGAGAATACAGTATTATTCGAGAGCTGGAAATACGTTTTTAAAACAGTGCATATTTCGGGAAAACAGGGCCTAGATTCATTCATTTCATCGATAGTTCCTTTACGTGGATGGACTAAGATGCAGTCCTTAATTTTATCACGGTCGTCTTCTGTTTACCGTTAAAGGCAGGTGCCATGCAATTTTACAAATCAACCGCCATATTCAAGGGCAATTTCGTGAGAATAAATAAATTCCCAGCTGGGGGCTTTAATGTTTTCTCCTGCTTCACGAACGTCTTCTGTTTACAGGTAGAGAGAGATATCCATGTATGGCTGACAGAGAGAATCTTTCCTATACGGATGCTGTATTACACGAGGTCATGAGATTAGGAACGGTGGCGCCACTGGGTGTTCCACGTAATACGTCATGTGATACTACCATAGGTATGATTTGCACATTTGCATATTTATTGCCCTGTTTTAAGAGAGAGAGAGAGAGAGGGGGAGGGGTAGAGGGAGTAAATTAAATGAATTCATTGATTGTTGTATTTCTATATCATGAATAGACTGGCATCAGACGTTTTAGACACTGTGTATGCCAGTGTTATAAATTGTAGCTTGTCGGCGATGTCGCCCGTGTTATGGCGTTGTCACTTACCGCAACTTGAACAGTATCTTCTAGATAACGCTGGACTAAACTGAGGCTGTTATTTTTTACTCCCTGATTGAGCTTTATTTACATTGTTAATCTGACACCATTGACTTTTGAACCTAGGCCATTTACTAATGAATATTTTGACATTAAATCACACAAGTGATCAGAACTCTAAACTAATGTTTATAGATAAAAATAAATGTAAAATTACAGTGAAAAATATGTAATTTCTTTAACATAATGCTGTAAAAATACCACTGCATGTTTTTATACTATAAATTTACAGTATTTGTGCGATAACATGGGATTACTGTAAATAAAAATGGTAAATTAACCATAAAAGTTTAGTTTTACACGTTAGAACTGAGTTAAAATACAGTCATTTTACTGGCCACTTTCTGCCAGTCCATTTACGGTAAAAATACACAAATATTATTTACAGTGTACAGTGGTTAGAAATTATACGGTAGTCATTAATTAGCAGTTGTGTAACTAGCTGTAAAAGATGTCACCTCTAGCATAAAAGAGACTAATTCTAATACACATTTCTATTGAATACACAAACCTTGTGTATCATTCAATAGTTACACCTTAGTGACGTAACACCTACTTAATAACTGTAACTTGATTACTAACAATTCTAATTAACTAATATACATTCTTATTACAGCTGGTTACGACGTTCCAGAAGGTACTACTGTATTCATCAACCAGTGGGCCATAATGAACGATCCAGATAATTGGCAGGACGTAGATAAATTTAAACCTGAACGATTTCTAGATGAAGATGGCAAAATGGCACCAAAACCAGAAAACTGGCTTCCATTCGGTGCTGGAAGAAGAGTTTGTCTTGGAGAACCTTTAGCGAAATCAGAATTACATCTGATCATTGCGTCATTATGTCAACGTGTTCATATCTCACTAGAACCAGGAGTACCGGTTAATATAAAGGCTAAAGATGCTCAGATTGTTAATTTACCCAATCCCTATAAAATAACCATTAAAGAAAGGATTTGAACTAGGTATATAGGTTTAAACACCTGACTTTAAAAATCTTTTAAACAAGGTAAATTGGATATTTTGGTATATTTGTGCGTTTGATTTCCGTAATACAACCCAATTTAATCATCGACATGAAAAGGTTGAGAATTCACCTTTAAAAATAATATTATAAACTATAAACGATACACGCCCTTGTTTGTCTTTAATATATATATAATACTATGGTTATACGTATTTAATCCTATGTTTATATACATGTATGTATATATACATATTTAATATATATATAATACTATTGTTATATACATGTATGTATATACATACGTATTTAATACTATGTTTATATACATGTATGTATATATACATATTTAATACTATGGTTATATACATATATAGAGGATATTTGTTGATTTAGAGTGAATAACATATTTTATTTCATCGAGAAGCAAGAAAACTTATATTTTCACGAATGCGTAGCATGAGTGAAAATATAAACGTTTTCTTGCTTAGAGATGAAATAAAATATGTTATTCACGACAAAACGACAAATGTTCTATTTATTCTATGATTTTACAATCATTTTAGGTAAAAACGACTAGCCAGTGGAATAACACTTTTATTTCACTGATAAAACGCGGTATTCCACTACTGATCATAAAATAAATGTATATATACGTATTTAATACTATGGTTATATCTATGCGTATTTAATATTCTGGTTAATACTCTGACTTTAACAAACTATGGTTATATACATATTTAATACTTTATCCAAAAATATTAGCACAACCGTAAAGCTGCACTACTTTGTTTTACGGTAAATGATGAAAAGATAAGAAAAGGTATGCCGACACAAACAGATCTCAACACTGGTTTAATAACATTTTAAAGTACTTTTCGCCGTCTTGGGACTATTCATAAATGATGTCATAGTTACACTGTGGTTTTGATTGGCTATAGTTACCATTGTCTATGGTTACATAGTATATCGTTAACTAATAGAACACACGTACACGCGTGTGTAAATCTGTAGTATATGGGTTCAATTTAGGAACAATGAGTGAAAGATAATCATTTGATAGATTTAAGAAAATTAATGAAGCTAATGGCCAATTGTTACCTTTTGACTATTAAGTCGAGGAACGTATTTTTTTAAATAAAATGGGTTTTCATTAATTTCCTTTTCGTGGTGTCATCGACTTTATTTTATAAATTTTAAATATATAAATATTACCTGGACGTATTTTTTTTATTTATTTATGCATTTATCTACCGTAAACAAAGAAGTACTCGTACTTTATCTACTTTAATATATATTTACATATATGTGTTTAACTTATAAATATATGTGATTTTAAAACTGTTTTATCTAGTATTATTGAAACATGTAGAAATCAAACGTAAACATGTAGTTCATGAATAAATATATCACCTTTTAAAAGTTGTTTGCCTACATAATGTTAAAGATAAAACAAAAAAACATCGAAAGCTTATGATTCATGGCTATTGGCTAGTCCAATAGGGTATCTTGGAAATCGTTATAAGTATATTGCCAGAAATCCTCTAACCTTATTTGTCGGTTTTAATAGACTGTCTTTGGTTCAGTTCCATTAAATTTAATATGATGGAGACGACAAATTAAAATCGTTTGTCGATGTGGTGTTGATCACATACCCTTTTATTTGTTATTGTTTGTTCTTTTAAAGGTAAATTCCCACGTGTTTGATCTAAAAATAATCTTACTGAACAAAAGTAAACAAATCAGAAATTGAACATGTTGGAACAGAGAATCTATGAAAACAAAATCAACTCGACGTTAACAAATAAACAACGATGTATTCATTAAATAACATATAAATTTCAGTATTCGACCCTTGAAAATGTGGAAGTACCCCTTTAAGAAGTCATAAACTATCATCTAAATTATACATGTTTTATACTATATATTTGTGTTCATATTATGATTAATAGTTGTAAATCTGTTAACGAGAGAGAGAGAGAGAGAGAGAGAGAGAGAGGGAGGGAGGGAGATAATATGGAATATAAAAACCAATAATTATTATTCTATAGTATTGAGAGAGAGAGAGAGACAGACAGACAGACAGACAGACAGAGAGAGAGGGGAGAGGGAGAGAAATGAAAGGGAGAGAGCAATGGGGTTTAACGTCCACTCGACACAAACTATGTCACTTCTGGACCAACACATCGTTCAACCCTATTTCAATAATTCGCTTGCGCATAGGGGTCTTTAGCAATTGGAAGAAACCGGAGGACCCGGCGACCCTACTCCTTGTCACGTACAACCGGGGAATCGAAACCACGCCAGTTGACTCAATGACATACCTTATGATAACCATTCGGCCATCCAACCCCCCACAGAGATAAGCACGCCTATGATAAATCCAAAATACATGTATATACCAGCACCCATTTGTCGTGTCTCTTATTGCATATATTCATTCATATTAGAATTAACATCAGATACTGTCAACAACACAAAGTGTTCCAGTGACAAATATATCATGATCGAGATCGCGCGTAGATGGAGGGAGGGGGGACAACTCTTTTCTGGCAGACATTACACCCTAGCTGATATAGAGCCTCTGTCCTGTAACAATAACAAGGAGGATGAACTTTCTCAACCAACACCCGGATCTCCGGGTTAGCCATCCAACATCTTATGCACTGAGCCACCACGCGCCCAGGAGACTATTTTGTGAACATAATTATATAATATCTTTAAGTAACAGGAGTTGGTGCGAGATTCAAGAAAATGCCGGAAATTAGAATATTATCACGTAGGTGGTAACTAAAGATGAGAGGGGAAATACAATAGGAAAAGCCAAATCTGATCTCGTGTAATTAAATCTGGAATTATATGACAACAATATTGATTTCTAACCTGTTTTGTTTTTATATATATAGGGGTCGTCATTCTTTTCTCCATTATAATAGTTTTATCTTCAAACAAGATGGTTAAAATAGCTTTGCTCTTCACGTTGGCATTGCTGATTTATCTGATTGGTAAAATTGTTACCGATGAAAGGAGACTAATTCAAACCTCGGCATACAACGATGGTGACTACTTGACACCATTAGCTACAGAGGTCAATCGAGACACAGTGACAGCATCAGCTACAGCCGTCAATGGACAGACAGAGACAACACCAGCCACATCCGTCAATGGACAGACAGAGACAACGCCAGCTACAGCCGTCAATGGACAGACAGAGTCAACACAAGCTACGCCCGTTGTAATAATACCAGCTACATACGTTGATAGAGACCTAATAACACCATCAACTACATACGCCAATAGGGCTACATTAACAACACTAGCTACAAGCGTCAATTGGGAGACCGCGCCTACACCAGCCACAGTCGTTGATAGAGACCCAATACTAGTATCAGCTACATACGTTGATAGCGATACATTAAGAACACCAGCTATAGTCGTTGATAGATATCCAATAACACTATCAGCTACAAGCGGCAATAGGGAGATCGAGACTACACCAGCTACGCCCGTTGATAGAGACCTAATAACACCATCGCCTACATACGTCAGTAGGGAGACCGAGACTGCACCAGCCACAGTCGTTGGCAGAGACCTAATAACACCATCAACTACATACGTCAGTAGGGAGATCGAGACTACACCAGCTGCAGTCGTTGATAGAGACCTAATAACACCATCGCCTACATACGTCAATAGGGAGACCGAGACAACACCAGCTACAGTCGTTGATAGAGACCCAATAACACCATCAACTACAGTAGTCAGTAGAGAGAACGAGGCAACACCAGTTACAGTCGTTGATAGAGACGCAATACTAGTCAATAGGGATACAGTAACCACAGCAGCTACAGTCGTTGATAGACATCCAATAACACCATCAACTATGTTCGTTGATAGAGACCTAATAACACCATCAACTACAAATGTCAATAGCGATACATTATCAATACCAGCTACAAACGTCAATAGGAAGATCGAGACTACACCAGCTACAGTCGTTGATAGAGACCTAATAACACCATCAACTACATACGTCAGTGGGAAGACCGAGACTACACCAGCAACAAACGTTGATAGAGACCTAATAACACCATCAACTAAATATGTCAATAGGAAGATCGAGACTACACCAGCTATAGTCGTTGATAGAGAACTAATAATACCATCAACTACATACGTCAGTAGGAAGACCGAGACTACATCAGCAACATACGTTGATAGAGCCCTAATAACACAATCAACTACATACGCCAATAGGGAGATCGAGACTACACCAGCTACATACGTTGATAGAGACCTAATAACACCATCAACTAAATACGCTTATAGGAAGATCGAGACTACACCAGCTACAGTCGTTGATAGAGACCTAATAACACCATCAACTATATACGTCAATAGGGAGACCGAGACTACACGGGCTACAGTCGTTGATAGAAACCCAATAACAGCATCAGCTACAGGCGTCAATAGGGAGATCGAGACTACACCAGCTACGCCCGTTGATAGAGACCAAATAACACCATCGCCTACAAGCTTCAATAGGGAGATCGAGACTACACCAGCTACGTCCGTTGATAGAGACCTAATAACACCATCGCCTACAAACGTCAATAGGAGGATCGAGACTACACCAGCTACAGTCGTTGATAGAGACCTAATATCACCATCAACTACATACGCCAATAGAGAGACCGAGACTACACGAGCTATAGTCGTTGATAGAAACCCAATAACAGCATCAGCTACAGGCGTCAATAGGGAGATCGAGACTACACGAGCTATAGTCCTTGATAGAGACCCAATAACAACACCAGTTGCAGTCGTTGATAGAGACCCAATAACAACACCAGTTGCAGTCGTTGATAGAGGCCAAATGACACCATCAGCTACATACGTTAATCGAGAAACAGTAACAGTGCCAGCTACAGACATGTATTTAGACGATGCAACAACACATGTTACAAACCTAAACAGAGACATATCGACCAACGGAGACAACATAGACACCGTGTCAAGATCCGTTACAGACACGGCGTTGATATCGGCTATAGATGCCGATAAAAACGACTTAGACGTTTTAACAACATCATCTTTGGAAATGGATAAAGACAGGTTGATGATACCAGCTAAAGATGTAGATAGCCATACAGATGCAGTGACACGACCAGTTACAGTAAAAAACACGGATATAGACGTAGTAACATCAACTGTCGCACAATCGTTGAATTCAACATCCAAGGGCGATCTTATCAATTGTCCAGACTTTGTTATGGCTTCGTGTAGTCAACAATGTGGGGTATATCGTCCATTGCCGTGTTCATGTGACCAATTTTGTTTAATCTACAAGAACTGCTGTCCTGATTATGAGATGGTGTGTTCCCAAGATGCTGAAATACTCCGAGAATATTATTCCGATCTTATAGATGTAGACATTACGTGTCTAGAAAGTCCAAGTTTTGATATACACATGGGTATTCAGGTAAAATAATTTTATGTTTCGTTATAAACGATAAGTATGGAAGCGTACAGGGGTCAATAGCGCGATAGATAATTGAATCAACGTGCTATATGTCCGCATTTCGTTTTAAATGTGCACGTTTGCGTTAAGATATTGCTATTCTGAAGCTTTGTCGACATATTCCATTCTGCCATAGTATGTCGACTTGTTCGCGAAATATCGGCATGCGCTATGTCGACTGGTGCATTTAAAACGAAATGACGACATACAATATAGCGAGTTCTTCAGTTAACTCGGCAAAAATTGTCTTTTTAGAGATCAAATCATCAGAATAATCACAATATGTTGACAGTTAGTAATTGAATATATAATATTAAAACACAAGTTATATCGGAAACAATCACTGAGTTAATTTCGCACAACGTTTCAACAAGTTCCTTGAGAACGACAAGATGAACTTGTTGAAACGTAGTGTGAAATAAACTCAGTGATTTTTTTCCATATAAATTGTCTTTTATTATTATAATATGTTGACATATTACCAACTTAATATTGTGGTATCTATCGCGCTATTGACCCCTATACGCTTCCATACTTCGAAGCATATAAGGCAGAAAATTCGGCACCATGCTCAATTAATTATCTCGATTTCATACACGTAACTACTGTAGATGATGAGGACTGATTTTTATTATTTATATCAAGAAATTGATATGAGAATTTCGTCCCCATAAACGCAGTGAAAGTCGTGAATGAAAACAAATGCGACATAAAGCTTATTGCTATGGTAATCAATATTCCAATTATATTTAGGAAGTGTTTGTAATGTTTCTTTCCAGGTAATCAGCGGATGTGGAATTGAAGCCTTTGAAGAATCTAAAAGATTATGTAATCCCACTAATATAAAACCTGTTACATTAAGCAACACAAACCTACATTTTATCAACCTTCACTGTCTCAT